GATGCGTAGCCTTGTGTGACGTAATCACGCGTTGCGTAGCCTCGTCTGACGTAATCACGCGTTGCGTAGCCTCGTCTGACGTAATCACGCGTTGCATAGCCTCGTCTGACGTAATCACGTGTTGCGTAGCCTCGTTTATTCGCATCAAACAGTCGAGAGGGAAACTAGATGGAAACAGTCTAGATTTGAATTTTTATTTATTTAATTTTTTTGCTAATTTTGATAAGTTTGATAAAAATTCACTCTACAACTGGATGGAAACACTTGACAACAGCCATATGCTCTCACATGTCTGATTTCACACGCTGAAACTGGCCGAATCGGTAGTTTGTTTTTTATTTCAAGCTAAAAAACGCTGCATCCGCAGCTGGTGGGAGAATCAAACGTCAAATGCGAGTGGCCCGGGAAACTCCCCTCCCAAATTCAAACGGAGAAAGAGGAAAGGTGAGCAGGTAAAATTAGCAAACGTTAAAAAAAAGAGAGAGATGGGTGGAGCAGTGAAACTAAAGGGGAAAGGTTTGTGCAAGACGCAGCCAGATTAGCTAAATCAACATAACTTCTGTGATGAAGGGGCTAAGGTCAGTGAGACTGAAGTCAGCCAAGCCAGAGACAAGAGATAATCTGTTTTCTTGTTCTGTTTCTCCATTTACAGATATTTTTACTAGTGAGTTACTCATTTACTGTGTGTGTAGCCATGGTGCTGAACCCTTCACAGCCCTGCCTGTCAGCTGGTCCCAGCAGACATTTACTCAGGCTGCACCCAACACTGACAAGCTGTGCCTGATGTCTGTGCCTCTGTCTACATACAGACAGAGGCACAGACAAAACCTACAGCGTTCATATCTGAGCCAAATCCATTGACACGTCCCCACATCCACATAACAGTCAGCGGAGGCTTTACACAAATGTGCCAGCTTCATGTTGGGCTGTAATCATGAGCCTGCCTGACACCTGCAAAAAAACCTTTTGGTTCTGATCCGGTCAGGGTCTGACCTGAGCCTAAAATGAAATATTCTTTGTTTGTACCACATCTGGCCCAAATATATTATTTTTATAGCACATGTGGGCCACCGTTGACTTAGATTCATTCTTTAATCCAGATCCAAGCCAGAGCAGGTAAGCTTTGCTGTCAGAGCAGACAAATAAATGTGCAGATAGTTTGTCTTTTTTTCCTCACGTTTCCCCTCAAAATAAAGTTTGTTGTTAACTACGTTACTTAAATAGTTTGTTTTACTCAGCATTTCTCAGGGAGTTTGCTTTTGCACCACTGTCCCAAACTGTGCTATTGTGCCACTGTCTATATT